AGGTGACTGTCCCAAGGAAAGACCACTACCACATTGTGGGACCTGCATGTTCCAAAGTCTGTGCTCCTATTTGTCCTTGTAAGATCAGATCTTCAGTCATCTAAGGCAATGTAGCCATAGGTGACAGAGATCAAGCCAATTGAAACCAATAAAAAGATGTACAATGAACAAACCAAGTAAGGAAATGGCCACAGTGCTTGTTAGGACTAGGTCTCTAAAGCCACACACTATCATCTCTACTTTTTTTTAGAAGTCAGTTACAATATTTAGTTCACACTCAGGGGTAGAGGAATTGGGCTCTACCTTAGGAAGACAGGCATAGTATCAAAGAACTCGAAGGCCCATTTTAAAACACCCATAACTTGGTACCTTATTATTGTTGCTAAGATTGTCTTGTCATCAAGGAAATCCACACTTTTGCTCTCTCTCCCAACTGTCTGGACTGGCTCCCACTGATTCATACATACATCTGGACCTCAACCTTCACACTTTATCTTAATAATCTTTTTAGTTCAGTGTGGTTTTTTTGTGGTACAAGGGCTTGCACCCAGAGGTGATCTACCATTGAGCCCAGCCCTTTTTATTTGTTATTTTCAAACAGGTCGCACTAAATTGCTGAGTCTGGCCTCAAATTTGTGATCCTCCTGCCTCTGCCTCCTGAGTCTCTGGGACTCCAGGAGTACACCACCTCACCCAACTAGATGGCTTTCCTGATCATCCTAATGCTTACCCTCTTGAACCACTGGGTTCAAGTTAATGTTGAGAAGACGTCTACCATCCACATCACTCAATTTGCTCAAATCTACCCTATTTTCTCTGTGCTTCTCATTTTTCATATTCTAAAATACCTATCCAAGAAAATGTCTGAAGAAAAGTGGTGCTTTCTTCTTATTTTCCCACTACACCAGTTTTCTTCTCTACCTCACACATGAGGTTTATTATAAATATAGTTATTAAGTTTATTTATTATAGAATGTATACATTTTGCTTGTGAAAGGATTACAAAAATTTCCCTGGCTTTTTTTTTCTCAGCCATCATGGTGTGTGCACTTGACTTTGTTCCTTGCTATGTCTTCTCAGAAGACATTTCAGATTAAACAATTCCTGGCCAATAAACAAAAGCAAAATTGCCCCTTCTCTAATGGATTCAGAAAAAAACTAGTAATAAAACCAGGAACAACTCCAAGCAGAGTCTTTGGAAAAGAACCAGGCTGCATCTACAAGGAATTGCACATGAAATTGCATGCATCTTTATGCTGCATTGAGGTCACTAACATTTTACTGGATTAATCTGAAAATGATACTACTGCCTGGAAAGTTGGACATATTTTTTTGTGGGGGCGGGGGATCTGATTTGTTTCTATGCTCTGTCCCAGTAAGTTGATTGAGTAATAAATATGTGAAAACTTTTAAAATGTCACCCTATATGTACTTCACATTAAATTATGTCCTTGGCGTTACCTCAGTGCACTTACAATGTTGGAGATGGAAATAGGGAGAAAGTAAAAGATGGTGCAAATGGGAAGAGCAACCTGGAGAACAGGTTGCAGAGTCAGGATGGAGCTCAGTCAGGAGCCCTGCATGAACAGTGTTGGTTGGGGGTTGTTTATTTGTCACCAACTCCTTTATTCTAACCTCTCCTAATAACAACCATGGAATTCAAGAAAGGGGCTGACTCTCTCTTTTCGTTGAATGGTTTAAAATTTGCTCAGTTGATCCAGGTATTCATACAGCCATTGATATCTCACAGGGCATGACATGGGGCATAAGTGGACTCCATGATGGGCTTTATGAAATTATTAAAACTGCTTAAGCCTTCTGATTAGACAAGTGTATTTAAACTTCTGTTTTACTAAGGTATCAACCTTATATAGTACCTTATATAAAATTTGCTCAGTTGATCCAGGTATTCATACAGCCATTGATATCTCACAGGGCATGACATGGGGCATAAGTGGACTCCATGATGGGCTTTATGAAATTATTAAAACTGCTTAAGCCTTCTGATTAGACAAGTGTATTTAAACTTCTGTTTTACTAAGGTATCAACCTTATATAGTACCTTATATAGGTCTTGGAGATAATGTTTTCATTTTCTGAATTTCCAACTGAATAAGAGATTAGACATTCTTTTTCTTCTGGAACCCTAGATATAGGAATAGGATTTTAATATCCTCAATAAAAGAGCATGCCTCATATTTAATTGCGTTTTTGTCCTTTTTTAGCACTGGAAACTAAACCCAGGGGTGCTTTAACACTGAGCTATGTTACAGCCATTTTTATTTTTATGTGATCATATAAAAGAGCATTTTTATTCTTGTCCTTAGAAACTATAAAGACTATACATGATTTAGAAATGGGACTGTACCAAACAACAGTCAAGAAGAATCATCCATTCTATGCCTTTTATTTTGTCTGGTCACTCAGAAATATAATGTTATCATCTATGATTGTTGTTGCTTGTCACCTCACATTATTTTTATTCATTGATTCACTATAGTCTACTTTCCCTTCCACAAAAATTTAAGAACCCTTTTCCACATACTCATATGGTATATCTCTAAGGCCTGGCTGAACACTGATATTCTATGCTATGTTGTCTTTAACTGATATTACCCATTTGGAATTCTTCACTCTCCCGTGATTGCCACTCTCATTCGTTGATAGAGAAAATATTGTTACTGGATTTTTTCCCTTCTGCCTGTCTCAGGACTGGGCCCTGACCCACTTGCCCAAGTAACTGCATGCAATTCAGAGCTGTAATAGAAGTCTTCAAAACATGGCTTCTATTTTCTTTTCTTACAATTAACATTTTAGCCTTTCCTAACTAGCCTGGGAAACTTATTATTCATTTTGAAACAGGGTCTCACTAAATTACCTAGACTAGCCTGGAATTTGCAAGCCTCCTGCCTTAATCTCCTGAGTAGCTGGGATTACAGGTGTACAGCACAGTACCTGTCTCCCTTCTATTTTAAAAAATATATATTTAGTTGTAGATGGGCACAATAACTTTATTTTGTTCATTTAGTTTTTTTAATGTGGTGCTGGGAATCAGATCAAACCCAGTGCCTCATGCATGCTAGGCAAGCGCTCTACCACTGAGCCACAAACCCAGCCCCTCCCTTCTATTTTTGACTTTGCTTCATGCCCACCATTGAGGACGGAACATAAATGTGCACATCTTGATAATGTTCTCTGAAAACCCCATGATGTGCTCACTTTCCAATTTAGGCTAGTGTTTTCTCCTCCTCATTCCTATGTCTCACAGCTTCTATAACTCCCATACTTCCCCTAGGGAGGCCCTGCAGAACTCCAAAATGTTTCAAGAATGCTTTTTCCCCCTTCTGTATTTTATCTAGTTATTTCAAAATTAATTGATTTTTTGCAGTATTGGGGATTGAACTCAGGGGTGATTTACCACTGAGCTACATCCTCAGCCCTTTTATTTTTTATATTTATTTATTTATTTGTTTTTTTGGTACCAGGGATTAAACTCAGGGTCACTTGACCACTGAGCCACATCCCCAACCCTATTTTTAATTTTATTTAGATACAGGGTCTCAAGAGTTTCTCAGCCCCTCATTGTTGCTTAGGCTGGCTTTGAACCCCTGATCTTCCTGTCTCAGCCTCCTGAGCCATTGGGATTACAGGTGTACACCACTGTGCCTGGCTTACTTTATTTTTAGACAGGGTCTCACTAAGTTTCCCAGGCTGACCTTGAACTTATGATCTTCCTGCTCCAAGAAGCTGGGATTACAGGTGTGTGCCATCATGCCTATCAATATTTCATAATTTAGATGAACTGACCTGAGGATAGGACTGTTCAGTCTTCTTGGTACTTAACTATTCTTACAAATTAATCAGCTGGCAATCTGACTTATAGAACAGCTTTACAAGCTTGGTCATTATAACCCTACCTCCTGAGAACTTGATGTAATTTGAGTGTGATGATCAATATAAGTTTTGAGTATGCAAAACTTTAAACTGACGAATTCACCAAAATCATGCTTATAGTTTGCTAGTCCTAGAGACATTCTTCACTATTGCTATGTAAGACACTGAAAAAGCAGGATTTGATCTGTAACTGAAAAAAAATGAATTCAAGAAAGGAGAATGTGATTATTCCAATTAGCTTTGGAATTATGGAAATGTAGAAATGAAAAAAATCTATCATTCTTCGTTTGATGCTATCAAAGTGATAGTATAACACCAAATTGGCAAACATGAAAATGGTCTACTTGACAAACAGTTCTTAGGATAAAATGAGGATTGGTGACATTTGCTAATTCAACTGACTAAGCATTTATTGAACATCTACTAGGTATGAGGCATGTATTTAAGTGCTATGAAACTACTGAAGATCCTTTTGAAATTGGTTCTAAAACCTATCAATTTCCTTTTCTCTGGTAATGTAGTTGCTAAGCAACTTTCTCATATTAACCTGGCTTCTTGTCGGGGAGGTAATACATGAACAGCAGTGGCACATGACCATTACTTTGCAAGTTCTAGTAAGGGGCATAATCACATTGGCATTCTGATTCCAATACATGAGTTCCTTGAGTCATTGTGTGCTGGATCTGTTGCTGAGTTCTACAAGCGGAAGAGATAAAAAGCTAGATGCTGCGGCAGAGGACATGGCTTATCAGTAGATCTTTCTTGGGCTCCTAAACTTGCTTAAGGAATCTTGGGGCATTCTATAACCCACTAACTAGACCAGCATATCCAAATACTGGGCAAACCTGATGGCTAGGACTTTCAGGTAGGATGATTTTGATAAAATCAGATCAAGACATATACTTTGGCTAGAACAGAAAGGCAAATACTTTGCCTGTCTTTTCTCATTAAATACAAGTCTAGACAGAAGGGAAATTTGAATGTAGACATATGGAAAAATAAAATGATAGAGATATATGTGGATGGGAAGCATAATTCAATAGACATAGTGTTGAGAAGAGACTAAGAGAGGGGGATGAACATGACGGATAGGTACGATACAAAAATGATTTGCTTGTGTTTTTATTGTGGGGTTGCCAGCACCCTGCCAGGGTAGTTTTCTGCTCAGGAGGTGATGAGTCACCTAAGAAAAAGAAAGTCTGAAATAATTAGTTAAGAATTAAGAGCCAGAGTCAGAAAATAGGTTCTAATGGAGTACCTGATAGGTTCTCCAGTCCTGGTAGGAGCTGGAACCAAACAACTAGAAAATGGCTCCAGTCCTTTATTTAAGGGAGAGTACATCAAAGGCAGGGATAAGATTTCAGCAGGTGGAGTCTTCCTTCCTGGTGTCCTGCAGTCAACAGGTTAATTGGCATCTTGGCAAGCCACACCCATCTCTGAGAGGCTTTGTGTCTATGTGGCTCCAGTGGGTCACGCCAACTCCAGTGCAGTGTTGAACTGGCAAAGCTAGATAGGATATCACATGTACTGGGTCATCTCAGACCAGCAGGAGTTCTGCTGTGAGTTCCTGGATACCAGACTTTCCTACCCAGTGGTTTCCTTGCAGATTTGGTTCATGTACAGTTCATGGATAGCTTCTGGCAGGTTTTCATATGCAGTTAATAATAGATGATTTGATTTCATCAAATTATAGAAACATGAAGAAAATGCAAGTAAATTTGCTTTCTTTAGAAACATACAGTACTTTGCAGAAATACAAGGCACAATAAGTAATATGACAAAGAAAGTGAGACAGAACTGTATAGGTCAATACCTTCTAAGCCTTCGACAACACACATCTGCCCTGTTATCTGTAGCCCACAGTGGGATTTCTGGTAAATATAGATTGTATCAAATACCACTAACCATGTACCAACAGTTCAGGGCATTCATGGATATGCCTTGATTTACTGGGGTTAGTACTCCTCATGCTCACCTGTCCAGAGAAATAATGAGAAAAAGTGTGCAGAAATGAAGAGACAATAACAAAGGAGTTTCCTCGTCTCTCAGCCAGCTTCTCTTCCTTTCCCCAGCAGCCTTCTCAGGGATCCCTTCACTTCCTTATTCCTTAGAGTATAAATGAGAGGATTTACCATGGGTGTGACCACAGAGTAGAAGAGGGAGATGAATTTGCCCTGGTCCTGGTTGCTGCTCTTAGCCGGAAGCAGATACCCATAGATGGCTGAGCCATAGAAGAGGAACACCACTACTAAATGGGAGAGGCAAGTGTTGAAGGCCTTTCGCCGCCCCTCCACAGAGCGGATTTTCAGCACAGCCTGAGCAATGAAGCAGTAGGAGATCAGGATGATACTCAGTGGGACTGCAGTGAAGAAGGTGCAGACACCATTGAGCACGGCCTCATTGAGACTTGTGTCTCCACAGGCCAGCTTGATCATGGCGGGCACCTCACACAGGAAGTTGTCTACCCTCCGGTGTCCACAGAATGGGAGCTGCAGAGTAAATGTGGACTGGATTACAGAGTTACCCAAGCCCCCCAACCAGCTCACAGCAGCCAGCAGCCAGCAGAGCCGAGGATTCATAATGGTTGTGTAGTGCAGGGGCCGGCAAACTGCCACATAGCGGTCAAATGCCATCACCACAAGTAGGATGCACTCAGTAGCCCCCAACCAAAGGAAGACATAGAGTTGGGTCACACAGCCACCATAGCTGATGGACTTGTCTGGGCCCCATAAATTGATCAGCATTTGGGGGACTGAGCTGGTAGTAAAGGCGAGGTCCAGGGAGGAGAGGTTGCTGAGGAAAAAGTACATGGGTGTGTGTAGCCGGGCATCAAGGCGGGAAAGCAGGATGATGGTTGAGTTCCCAACAAGGGTCAGCATATAAGAGAAGAGAATGATTATGAAAAAGATCATCTCCAGCTTGGGATGGTCAGAGAGACCCATCAGAATGAAGCGCTCTGAGGAGCTGTTGCTGCCCCCTTCCATCACTGGTTGCCTTCAGTCACTGGAAGACTCTGTTCAGGGAAAACTGCTGCGAGAAAAGCAAGGGAAGAAGAAGCTACTGGTGGGTCTGCTCAGGAAAGTTCCAGTGGTTATCTGGGCTCTACAGTTATGGGCCATTCCAACTTCTATGATTGCAGTCTTTAACTGTAACCCCCCAATAACTTGTCCATCACATCTGAATGTCAAATATGAACTGGCACAGGCATGAAGACAGAACAATGAGATTAGGGCTCTTCAGTTCAGAACAATGGTTATAACACATCAGAGGGAGCTGTTAGAAATAAATACATATGGAAATTCTCAAAATAAAAATTTCCCCAGCCAAGTTTTGATATGCTCAGGAAAGGGAAAGCAGACACACTGAATTTGGAAAAGCTCCCCAGAAGTTTCTGATCAGTTTCCTTTCCCTTCTTTGCTGTCCCTCTCATCTCAGGTGAAAAATCCTAATCTAGAAAGCTGAAATTGGAGGAACAACATGATGAATCTATAAAATCATGAAAAGAATGGTAACATTGAATATAGACTCTTTCACCAAATACAGAAGATATGAATATAAGAGTTAAAAGAGGCAAATGTAGAACTTCACAAAAAGCCAAAACAAGTTTAAGTGGAACAGGTTGAAGATATAAATGGGGGTTACCCCAAAAAGAGTTAAATCAGCCAACACATATCCATAATCAGTAAGGAAAACTAGAATATGTCAGAGGAAATTCCTGACCTTTGCCATGTATGACTGCTATGCCCACCTCTAAACCATGGGATAATTCTTAATGTCTCACAAATATGCTCTTGTTAACAATGGACCAATTAGTGTCTCTTTCCTTGGACAGGATATAGGCTTTTCTGAAGATCATAAACCAAGGTCCATCCTCTTCTTTTGACTAACAAATGAATCTGAGAATAAAACAGAAATAGTTTTGAGGGTCATTTGGATATGACAACTGGGAGGGAATGCTGTTTATTTTTCAGCACTGTGGTCCAAAGACAAGAAATGCTACTTAAAGCAGTGTGAGGTTGCAATTAGCTCCTTCTGGTACATGAGGCAGGGGCCACTGGGCCATACCTCTTGGCTAAGAATCCCAGGAATTTTCCTTTTCATCAACACACAGCAAAAAATAGTGGAGATCCTGATGCTAGAATCCAAAGGAGTTAAGAAAGGAAATTCCTTTCAAATGTTTGCCTTTAAGTCAGTAGTTGAGTACTTCCACAGAGTCAGGGATAATGACTGACAGAGGGTGTTCCAACCTCCCTCTGACCCCCCCTAAAGGAAGAGAGGATTGCTTCATCCAGGACCTAAGAGAGCCATGGATTAAGTAACTAGCCTTATAATCAACTCATCTTTCTGTTCCGAAGTTCTTGCTGATGCCTGTCTTACTAATTGCTGCTGGTTGAGGTGCCCAGCCCTTTGAATCCCTTTAGAGGAAAGAAAGACAGGCACTGCTGCCCGTCCTCCCCGAGTTGCTCATTCTGCATGGCTTGTGCTCCCTGGTTGTCCAGCAGTGCCACAGTTCCTGTCAGTCCCTGCTTTGTGTCTTCCAAGCAGTTTTTAGCTAAGGAATAAACATGCCAAAATGGGAACAGAAAGGCCATTTCTAGGGTGGAGAAGCTGTTCCATGAGCTCTAGAGGAAGCACCAGACCATCTGGACTCCTGGCCTGAGCTGGACAAATCCCCGAGCAAACACAATGATAACCACAAGCTTGTGTTCATCAACTCCACGGACCTTTGGGGCCTTTTCTTTCCCTTGAAATTTCCTGGTTCTCTCTAATCATCTGGGAGTTTTCAGTTAACCCAGAAGCATTGGCATTTTAGAAAGAGTTCAGAAAGGATGATACTGAACTTTCCACCCTGCATGGGCATGCAGTTTGGGCATGGAAGCCCAAGGTGGAGGATCTTTAGGAATCACTCACCTAGTGCACAGATGGCTCTAACCTTTACCTGTCTGTAAGTTTACTTGGGAAGTTTGGGATGTTCCTTCCAGATAATATTTTCACTGTTCTGATATGATTTTAAACACCTGAGCTTGCTGGAAACAAACAAACAAAATAAATAAATAAACAGACAAGCAAACAAACAAATAAATAATTTAAAATTAGAAAGCAGGAGAAGCTGTTACAACTTTGTGAGAGTTGACTTGATGACATAGTGGTAAATTCTTTCTCCTTAGGAATCGACCTGCCTGTAGGCACTGAACTCTGCTTAAGATTTTATGCATGAGGATTCTGTTCCTAGGGCAGGGTTATGCATACAAAAAGGGTTTTTTCGATGGTTAGTTTGGGTTTTGTTTTATTTTGATACTGGATATTGAACCCAGGGACATATCACAAGCTACAGCCCCAGTCCTTTTTTTAAATATATTTTTTGAGAAAGATAATTTTTTAATATTTATTTTTTAGTTTTTAACACAACATCTTTGTTTTATTTTTATGTGATGCTGAGGATCGAACCCAGCGCCCCTCGCATGTCAGGTGAGCACATTATCGCTTAAGCCACATCCCCAGCCCAGCTTTTCATTTAAAGACAGGGTCTTGCTAAGTTGCTGAGGCTGGCTTCAGACTTGTGATCTCTTGCCTTAGCCTCCCAAGTACTGGGATTACAGGTATGCACCACTGTGCTAGGCAGGTTGGGATTTTAAAGTCAGATTAAGAAATACATATCTTGTCTGGGGGCTGTGGCTGTGACTCAGTGGTAGCTCACTGGCCTGGCATGTGTGAGGCACTGGGTTTGATTCTCAGCACTGCATGTAAATAAATAAAATAATGGTCTACCAAAAACTAAAAATATATTTAAAACAACAATAACAACAACAAAAGAAATGCCCATCTTGTCTCCTGGATTCTCTTACAAATGACTTTTGCTAAGGGGTTCTTAAGATATTATAAAACTTCTTTCGCCTGTTGGGTTTTTTTTTTTCTTCCTGTTTTGCCTCCTTGCTGATGAAGAAGGTCATGAGTCTATCAGAGCTTGCAGCTCTAATATCACACGGCCCTGCCTTGCTCCTAAAGGAAGAACACAAAGCAGAATATTTGAAAGACCTTTAACACTCTCCCTTTCGCTCCCCTTTCCTTGTATTCACTCTCCCTTTGCCTTTCCCTTATGCTCTCTGTTCTTCAATAATGAAATCTAGGAAGTGTTTATGGAACTATACCTTTGGCTTCAGGATTCCCGAGTTGTTCCTCTGCCCAATGCTCGGTGTATGGAGAAGGCAAGTGTGGAACTTGGAGCAGGTGTTGTGGGCACTGTCCTCCTGTGCCGAGCAGCTACTGTCGTTGGTCCTGACCCTCTGAGCAGCCTGGGTCTGCTGCCCTAATGCCTGGCTCTCAGCAGGGCCCAAGGCGGGGATTTCAGCCCTCTCACCCCTACCATGCAATTAGCACAAAAGGCCCTAGTGGCCAGGACACAGGAAAATGGTGTCCCTGAAGAACACACTTCGTCTTCTACTTGGACTCCCTCCCTGAACACAGAGCACTAATTGAACTAGAAGTAAGAATAGTTGCATTCATTAAATACTCACTGTGTATATAATTTTATTCTTTTTACCTGTTTACATGCTAGCTAACTTAGTTCTTAAAACATTTTTTACAGCAGAGGGGTCAGGTCTATTATCCCCCATGCACAAGAGTGGACCAAGTATGAAGTGACCATGTGACTTGACTGGTGTTAGACAGGTGTGGCCCAGAGGTGGCTCTTGGTACCAGGTAGAAGCCAGCTGTCCTGTGCAAAGGGAGAGACTGTTTTGACTCTTCATCTATAAGATATCTCTTTGAATTTTAGCTCTTTTTGTGGGGTGAGGGCAGAGAAAGGAGGCCCCCTATCTTGGTCCTAACAAAACCATAAATAGGGACATGAAACTTAGATATTATCATACAGTGCTGTATAAAAAGCAAATTTACAACCACTTCTAAATAAATGCATAGGAGGAAGCTGGCGATCTGGTAGGGCATTAGATGTTACAGAAAATGAGTAATCCCCTAAATAGCTGACTTAGAAACCTCATTAATTGGAGAAATAGATACTTACCTGAGGATGTAGCTCAGTGGTGGACTCTAGATGTGGGAGGCCCTAGGTTCAATCCCCAGTGCTGAACAAACAAACAAAAACTGAGAATATACAGTGTGCCAGGTGCTGGAGAGAGGGCATAGGCATTGGCAAGACTGGCCTGATACCTGACCAGTGGGGCTCTCCTTCCAGTGGGCAGACTCCAAACATTCTCTCATGATGGTGAGCACCACCTGGTAGCTTGTGCTGCATGCCAGACACTGTACTCAGCAGTTCACAAACATGATCACAACCACCATGCCAGATAAACATTATTCTTCCTGTTCTACAAGAGAGGAAATAAGGTTGAGAGGCATTAACTACTTGACCAAAGGCAAAAGGCTAGTAGATGCAGAGCCTCTAATAGTGGATCTATTTGACTTCAAATCCATCCTGAGGAGAGACTGGAGAATCTCAATGTCCAGCCACTGGGAAATTCAGCAAGTCATGGCACCTCTATGAATTCTTGCACATGTCGTTATAATTGGTTCCTGCAAGACTTTTCTTATTTAAATATTTTGTTAATTTTTTTACTCTATTCCCAATCTCATTGACATTCTTCTCCACACTACCATAGGTACCTACTCTAATGTGTTTAATACACCAGTGTTTGGATATATATATATATATATATCCTTATAAAATACAAAATACTGCTTTGTGCATGCAAGTTTTAAAATTTACCTCAATGTACTGTGCCATAGCTCTTTCTGTTTCTTCCCTTTTAATGCCCTTTTTATAATTTTTCACTTTGTTTTAAGACATTTATGTTGTTATGTATGTATTTAGTGTTTATACAGGTAAATACGTACTTATATTTTTTCTATTCCATTAGGGGAAAACATAGATCTTGCCTTTAATTTCTAGCTACTACAAACAATGCTGTAACAAAATTCATCTGAATTTGATCTGAAGATTATAACAGAAGAATATCCTAGGCATATGGTGAAGAGTTAAAAGTTGCAGAACAATGTGTAAAGTATAATCT